AATGACTCAGTTCTAGTGGGACAAGGCTTTCGTTTTTTATTATCGCTGCATCAGCTTTTCGGTTCATTGAATAAGGGTACCGTTAACTATTTTTTTATCATCAAATTCATATTCTTCGAGGGCAATTTCATCACTCTTCTACGTCCACCCATCCATTCTTTTCCCACCTTCTGAACACCCTACGCCTATCCATCCTCTTGTCTCCTCTTGATGCGGTGCTTGTTCTGTCATTCATCATCATAAGTCACTTTAGTCTTCAGATTTAATTATAACATTCAGGATTTCTATCAACTTCACTCTTCCAAAAGGAAAGGAATACTATCTTGTGTAGATCTAAGCCATGAAAGGATGTTGAAGAAAGTAGACTGCTGTTCGTAGATGCATACTTTTCCTACCTCTGTTGTCCCAGTGGGCTAAGTGCGTTTGTCATCAAAAGTATATGTTTATGGCCCCTCCATGGCGTAAAGTTTCGTTATTTGAATCTTAAGGCTGCCAGAGAAGAAGGGAAGTTGCCAACCCTAATTATTACTCATTTGTGCCTTTGCCCTTCATAGTGCTTTATCTCGTGTGGAAGGCAGACTAGTGATAGGCCTCTCCTACCTGCCTCCCTCGATCGACATTCGCCTCACCCAGATCCCCGACAATGTGGCCAAACAACCTTCTTCATCTAGTCGAGTGAGAAACTACTTCATTTTTTTCCCCTGTTACGATTTCCTGTTAATTGTCGTAATGGCTCCCTCCCCAGGTCTCCCTTCCCAGCACAGTTCTGCTTCCCTTCGGCAGTGTCTTGGTTCCCTCAACGTCGTCTTCCTCCTATCCTGTCACTGCCAAATACCCTGATGAAGCTTCAACCACGACAACACCTCAATCACCACCACCACCGCCTCTGGGCGTAAATCCATCCATGCTGATGTCCATCTCTACAATAATAGATGAGAACAATATGGAGATGGCCGAATCCAATTTACCCGAGGGTTGGGATGAACGGGTCGACCAGAATGGAAGGACTTACTATGTTGATCACATTCACAAACGAACGCAGTGGGACCGACCCATGAGGTAAGATATTTAACCGTTGTGTCAGCCACACTCTGACTAAATACTCGTCAATTTTGTTCTTTAAATTGTTTTTTTCTGCCACCTTTTGAATTAAATCGGAACTGTTAGTTGACATTTTTACGTCTAGAGGAAATTCTTTTTCCTGGCAATCACTTTTATCCGGAAAGCTTGTGCCAATATCATAGGCGTCCTTGCAGGAGTCCTTAATATTGAAATTCCAATCCAAGTTTTTCGTCCTTTTCTATCCGAGTC